ATACATTTTATTAACATTTTAAAATACTATAATAGTTGATAAAATAGCTAGTTTTTAAGTTTYTAAAAGTTTATTTCAAGAAAAAAACAAAATTGTCATTAAATTTGAATTTTCTATATKATAAAATTACTCTCGAAGAAACTGTATTGAAAGAAGTTGATTAGTTGCGAGATCCAAAGGCGTTTTGGGACTTATGTGATGCACTATACATATATATCCATATAAATCGACGTGAAAGCGGAAAATATAAACTATAACTATATGTTAGTACGTTAACTCCGAATTAAATAACATTACTTCGGTACATAATATAAGTATATCTAGCTGATCACTATACTATATGTAGTATATCATATTATTTTCAGCACGAATAAAACTCGACTATATTCTTTAACTCGAAAAATAAGAACAAAAATTTCACGTTTCCGCGTTCATATTGTTTTTGTGAATAAAATATTATATAAAGGTTGGTTTTATCATTGTTGATATTTACCTTCCGCATCTTTGGCAATTACTGTAGAGCTCCGGTCCACAGTCCCTTTTTTGTCCTCTAAGAGAAAAACACACTTTTCACATTGGAGTCGTGACAAATTTGTAACACGGTCGTATACGATCTTTTTGTTCGTTATTTTTTGTACGTTTGTTTGTTTGTGTTTTTTTTWAAATAATATGTTAGGATAGTGAAATGTGTTTACAGAATGGGGTTTCAAACACGTCACGGGGGTAGTACCTATTCCCTACGCATGCATAATATACWCAAAACGAGAATAACAAAAAAAATAACAAATATATATGTATTAAATAAAAATCAACGAAAAACCGCCTACACAGGGTATCTAAATGTCATATTATATTATTATATGTATATTATTTTATCTGATGAAATTTATGGTGTGTGTATTAAAAAATAAAATTATTATGGTCATATCCGATATCAGTATATTGAACGACGGCTGTCCGTTGTTATAAAATCTGTTTGATATTATTCGTGGTCGTGTAACGATAATAATAATAATAATAATAATAATAATAATAATAATAACAATAATAATAATAATAATAATAATATAATATGTGTGTCCACGTGATGTCTTTGCTATTATTTTAACGGGTGTTCCTAAGAGTGAAAGCGTCACACTGCTCTTATTTACACAAGCAAGCAGCTCAAGTTTATGATTATATATATATATATATATATATATATTATATGCGTTTATTCACAGGGATATATTGTATATTTATATATTATTGTAGTTCGACTGATAATTATACATTTTTTAATTACAAAGTATTAGATAGATATTCACATTTATCAGTACGTTTGTGGTTCGTAAGAAGATATTTTTTTTTCAGATGTTTTATGCACGAATAATAATAATATATATATACATACTTACATAATATTATTATAAATGTGTATTGTATAGGTATTCAAACATATTTTTTTGTACAAATATCAATAATATGTTATATTTTTAAMAGTCGGGGTGCAAAGTTTAGAAGAAAAAAAAATAACGATTAAATACTATTTTTAGGTATACCGTTTAAGTAGTGAACGTTAGAATATTAATTATTATTTACTACGATGTAAGTATACATTATTGTATAATCATTTAAATTGGTTTATTTAGATTTCCATAAGTATTAAATGTGTAAGTATTAAATGTTTGTTCATTAAATGTGAACACATGCAAATTATTTAAAATTTTAATATTTTAATTTTGAAAGACGAATTATTAAAAAAAAAATAGGTGGGTAATATAACACCTATATTATGGTAAAAGTAGAGTTATTTAAAAACTCCAGAATGTGTAAAATCTCATAACGATTTTATCATAGTTTATATTTTATTTATTTTCACTTACCTCTAACATCATCATCTTCCAATGTTGTATTGCTCTCAGTTGATTCTTTCACTTGAGAACCATCTCCTTTTTTGTTGGTTACAATACTGCGACCTGACAACCAATATAAATGATTAATACCATGGTATATATTATATTATTTAATTATAAAAATTAATTCAAACACCAATTAGATAGTTATTAAAACATCTAACAGAATAAAAACGAATCTCTAAAACAATATTATATAATAATATATTTATATCATAGTAMAATATCGAGTTGAAAACCATCTTGTATTTTATTTTATTTTTTATATATATAATCAAAAAAAAAAAAAGAAAAAATTGACAATATTTTTAAATATTTTTAAA